CATGCATGTATCTACCTGCCTACACACACATTGATCTGAGAGGCAGTGCAAATAACTGTGAGGAAAGAGCATTTGGCGCAATCAGATAAAGCTTCTTGGAGAAGGTGGAACTTGAATTGGCCCTGACTGGTAGGGGGAAGGCCATCTACCTGCTGGAGAGAGAGGAGCATGGGCTAAAGAACAGAAGCAGGAAAGAGTAGGTAGATCGAGCCCCTGGGTTTCTGTGGAACCATCTCCATAATACATCCACCCCCAAGTAAAAGTCCTACTGCGACCAGGCCCACGTGACGTTCCTAGAAACACATGGAGCCTTGACAGGTGCCCTCACTACTCTTGAAGGAACACTTTGTGCCTATAGACATTAGAGGGAACTTGTGACAGCCGAGTGAAGCTGGGAAGGAGCGGGCTTGCCATCACTTTGCTGAATTGGACTCCATGCGAGTATTTGCAAAGGAAGCAAACACCAAAAGGGTTTTTGTTAATAAGGTCCACCCTCCCTAATGGCAAGATATGAAATGCAGACATTTTGCTAATTCACGGTTAATCTTTTCAGTAGGTACAGGGGCAGAATGGTTCTTTAACAAGGGCACAGGCAAAAGGGCTGTCTTCCTGGGTTCACCGATCACTGGATCCAATTCAACCCAGTACAGAGAAGCCATAGCTCCTGCAGACGTTGGGGCCTCTGTCTGCAGTCGCTGACTGTTGTGTTCTTCTAGCTTGGTCTTTACCCTCATGGATTAATCCAAGGGTGTGGAAGTAATTATAGCCAAATCTCCACTGCTCATAAGAACAGGGTGCAACAGTGACATGGAACATACAGGGGAGAAAACAAGCGAAAGGGTGGACTTATAGATAAGGCCCAGACTCTATCATCATCACACTCCAATATTAGAATTTGTTTGCCACGCCCTGGCCCGTGCTGCTCAGTGGTGTTGCCCGAGCACTGAAGGGTTGCAGGTTTGATTCTGGCCAAGGCCACGTACCTGGGTTGCGGGTTCGATCCTGGCCCTGGTTGGGGCGTGTGGGGGAGGCAACCAACTGATGACTCTCTCTCATATTGGTGTTTCTCTCTCTTCCTCTCTCCCCCTCCTTCCATCCCTCCCCTCCACTCTTTCTAAAAATTGATGGAAAAAATATCCTCCAGTGAGGATTAACAAAAAATAAATTACTTCGCCATTTCCCAAACACTGATTCAAGAGGCAAAGGGGTCTATTTCAGGTTAAAATGAGTAGATAATGTCACCTCGAGAAATGCTAAATTTGGATCTTGATACTATTACTTTTTTCCTGTCATTTTTCCCTCCTGACTTTCCACCTCCCAGAAATAGTGTGCCAGTGGCTTACACAGCAGCATCTGTGGGCAAGGTTTGAGGAATCAAGAGGCGTGGAGAAACCAGATTTTGTCATGTCAGTGGAGAAACATCAAGCCAGGAATTCTCTATTACATCGCATGCTTGTTTTCACTCCCA